AGCCAGAGAAGCTGAGCATCACATGTATTTGTAAAATCCTTCTCCAGACTTCTCTCTGCCATCAGCTTTTTCAAGGACGGGCTAGTCTGAAATCTACTGATGCAATCCATCCATAATAAACTTCACAGTATCCAGCCCAACGAAATCTAGAAGCTCAAGTGAGCCCATGGGGTTCCTGGCTCCTACCTTCATAGCAGTATCAATGTTTTCCTTGGATGCATCACCTTATGTATGCAGCCTGACTGCTTCCATGAGGTGCTGAATCCTGAGACAGCTGATAATAAACCCAGGAGTGTCATTGCAAGAAACAGGATGTTTTCTCAGCATTTTGCTCAAGTTTACCAAAGATTGAAATGTCTTTTGGGTGACCACTGGTGTTTTAAGGACCTCTGCAAGTTTCATCAGGGGCACTGGATTGAGTAAATGGGGGCCAGCAAATCAGTCTTGTTTGGTGGTAGTATTGGCTATGCTTGCAATCTGCAAGAAGGAAGTATTACTGGCAAAAGCTGTATGTTCAGCAGCAAACTTGTCCAGCCTCGAGAGCTTGATTCTCTACAATGGCCTCTACCACCAGGTCTGTACTGTGAACTATTGATGCTGCATCTGTCCTGGTTGATATGCTGCTTAGGGTTTTCTCCACAAATTCATCATCAGCCTTAGTGTTTTCTGCAAACAACTTCTTTGCCACTTTCCCAAGGCTCTTCTCAACTCCCTTTTTATATTCTGCCAAGATGTCCTCTGTCTTGTCTAGCAACACTACTGTGTGGCTGGTCAGTACAGCAATCTGTGTGATGCTGATGACCATTATGTGCTTGACAATGATTTTTCTTGCCCAGGGCTGTGGACAAGGAGGACACAGAGTAAATGAACTGCCTGGTGATGAAAGCCATGGTGCAGTGGCGGTGGCGACTGCAAGACCCAGGCAGGGAAGGCACGTGTGGTTTGGGAACCAGCAGACAGGCAGCCTCTGAGGCCATTTTTTATTTTTTAATAAAACTGTATTACTAATTTTATCGGCAAATAATTTTTGTCCAAATGATAATGTATGCTCAACATTAATATCTTCTAATTTTTAAAATTCATGATTATTGATAATTGATATGATAAGCATTGAACTTCCAGATTTGCTGATTAACTTTTATTTTTATAAAAATTATGATTGAATAGTATCAATCTGGCATTTTGGTATTAGATTTTAAAAAACAAAATATCAGTACCATAATTGTGCTGTGGTATCATAACTATTACATTTATGGAACATGCTAACCACTCATTTTCTATATCTTTCAAGATTTACATATCAAGTCATATCATCAGAATGTTACTGATATAAATTAGCAGGGAAGAGGGGGAAAACACCAGCAATAAAGCTGATAAAAACAAACCAGATAAAAAGTTAAGCAACGGAAATACAGCTCAAGAAAACATATTTTGTTTCCTCTAAATCAAATTACAGGGTGAAGCTGGATAAAGCTTTCTTATCTAGGGGAATTATATAAAAGAAATAATAAATGTTAGGAAACATGTGTTTAAAAATTAAAAAAAAAAAACAAAAAAAACTTAGTCTAATCCTGCTTTCTCACAAAGAAATACATTACAAAAATACCATGTAATATTTCCCTCTATTCAAATTTAAACAAGATATAATAAATTAGCAGTCATGGGCCAAACATACATAATATATAATACAATGTAAGCAATGGTAGAACAGAAAAAACCTTTAGATATCTTGTTTGCCAGAAACATTTCATAATCTGTTTCCCCAGTTTCAACAAATTGTTGGTAAACTATTTTTTACTGCAGAAAATATTCTAGGAGGCTCTCACTTATCCCTTCCAACACCAAGTTTTGCCTCTATCCAAAAGTTCAATGCTATTTTTACATTTATTTAGAGTCCTCAATTCTGAAGTCAGAGTGACTCACAATTCCTATATACTTGATTCAAATTTCTTGTGTTGTAGAAACAGAGGTATCTGTGAATACCAGATACTAGATTTAACCCAAAGAAAATCTGAGATAGGGGAGGTACACTATAATATGTCAACTAGGAGAAGCTCTTACATTCTATCCTTGCCAGGAGAAATCAAACTCTTAGCTTCTACTCCTATAAACAAATTAATTCCATTAAAAACACACTGACTGTAGATCCCTTTTGCAGGTTGTGACTTAGCTCAGTCCACCATAGCAAAACTTATTTTTACCTTATATTTGCTCATATTAAAAGTATGTACTTTTGCTTTTGTTTGCTCATATAAAACAAAATTTTATATTATTTTTAAAAATAATAATAGTCATAATAGTGACTAATTCTATAAAGATGTAGCCAGAAAAAAAGGAAATAAAAAATTAAAAATCACACCATGCAGACATTTAAATTCATTTACTTTGTCTTCTTAAAAGCAATGGATTCTGTTAGTGAGGATGGGGAGATTGGAATCCTTGTACATTGCTTGTGGGAATGAGATGGTATGGCTGCTCTTGAAAAGCCTGACACATCCTCAAAAAGCGAAAACACAGAATTACCACCTGATCTAACAATTCCACCCAAAGAAATAAAAATAGGTATGCAAACAAAAACCTCTACACAAACGTGCTGAATGTTCATAGCAGCACTATTCACAAGAGTCAAATGTAGGAAACAACCCAAATGGCCATCAACGGTGATGAACAGATAAACAAAATGTGATATATTATTAAAATGAAATATTATTCAACCATAAAAGGGAATGACACGCTACAATATGGATAAACCATGAAAACTTTATGCTAAGTGAAAGAAGACAGATGTAAAAGGTCACATATTGTATGATTTCCTGTATACGAAATCTCCAGAATAGCTATATCAAGGGAGACAGAAAGCAGACAAGCGATTGACTGGGGTTGATGAAATGAAGTGAGTGCTTAATGCATATTCCTTTTGGATAATGAAAAATGTTCTGGAACTAGATAGAGGTAACGGCTACATAACGTCATAAAGTTACTAAATGCAACTGAATAGTACACTTTATGTGGTTAATTTTTATGTTATTAATTTACCTAATAAAATTAGGATCATAAAATTAAGAAAAAAACTTCCTTTAGATATTATTAGTGCCTAATCAACCTGCTCCAAAATAACAATCCTGTTTTTCTCTGTAATCCAAGTTGCCTTTGAAATAGTCATTGTTCATAGTGCTTGCCTGCTCTTGTGAATTTTTAGAGACTCTACTTTTCATTAAAGGAAATTAACCTATAGACCAATGTTTCTCAACCAGGTACTGACACATTTAGTATGGTACCTTGCTTTACTTTATGGGTTTATCGAACGCATTATAGGATGTTTGGAATCATAAGACGGTGTTCACTAAATGCCAGCAGTGCTTCCTAGACATTCTGACAACCAAAATTGCCCCACACATTTCCATATGTTCCTAGTTGAGAGCCACTGATCTAGAACAAAATATCATATGCTATGTATTGTGTTACATTATTAGAAGTTCCCTAGTATATGCAACTCAATACTCTACACATGAGTTATTTCAAAAGCTCAAACTTTTTTATATGTGGAAAGTAAACTTCTTGCTTTTGACACAGGACACTATAAAGATTTATATATTTTATTGTTGTTCTAAACATAAAAACTACTTTCAACCAGAAGAATCAACTTTATCATGAGGTAGCTTGTGCCTAATATTTGATTACTAGATCATATTACTCAAATGAATTTTCAACTTCTATTAATAACATTTCATTCATCAATATAATATTCTCTTTGCTTTTTTTATATTATCAGGTTCCAAATATATAGGAAAGTTACAAAGAATAATATGACATCCATGTACCTGCTAGCCAGTCTGAATAAATCTGAACTTTTTGCTTTTTTCCTTAAGGAAGAAAACTTTACAGATAAAGTCCCCATGGGATTTTTTTCCTATAACATTCCACAATTCCTTTCTCAGTGGTGACCACTATCCAGAAGTTATTATTCCCATGAGTATATACACATTTACTATAAATGCTGACTACCTCCATAAACAATATAATAGTTTTGTTTACTTCACAGGCATGAAGTTCTGCTGCATGTATCATTCTTTTTTTGAAAAAAAAAATTACTTAATAGGCATTAGAAGTTTACCTATTTTGATACATTCTAGTTTATCCGTAACTGTTACATAGAAGTGTGGATTAAATTGTGTGTCCAGACCCCTCCCCCTATTTGTATATTGAAGCCCTAACCCCTGAGTGCTGTTTAATGGAATGGATATAGCATTAGGAAGAATCAGCCATGCTGGTACCTTATCTTGGACCTCAAGCCACCAGAACTGGTAAAAAATAAATTTCTGTTGCTTAAGCCATCAAGTCTGTGGTACTTTGTTGTGGCTACCCTAGCAAACTACTATACATAATATTCCATTGTTTGAACATACCACTTTACTTAATCTTTAATAATAGACTCTTATGGTATTTCTAGCTCCGTACTATAATGTACAACACTGCAACAAACATTTGGTACGTAGATTTTGTTATTCATATTGCAGGACTTTTTCTTGGACACATACACAACACAAGCACTATAAAATGTTGATCTTCAACTTTCTGATTATTGCCAAATTGCTTTTCCAGATAATTTTGGCCAATTTATACTCCATTGGCTAGATATAACACTGATTTCTCTCTGTCCTCTCCAAAACAGGTAATGACAGACTTCTGCCAATCTGATGGGTATGAAACATTTTGTTGTTTTAAAATGCATTTCTTTATCAGTGAGGTTGAACACCTTAATATATTTACTGACCACTAAGTTTTCTTCTGTGAAATGCCTACTTATATCCTTTACCCCATTTTCCACGTGGTTGTTTTTATTATTTTATTTACTAACAGGAGCTCTTCTTATACCTTAGATACTAATTTTTTGTCAACGACTTGAGTTACAAATAATTCTCGCCATCAGCAGCAGGTTGCTTTTTTTTTTTTTTACAGCATTCATTGTCCTACAGAAAGTTATTTTAATGTAGTCAAACATTAATATTTTTCTTTATGAAAATTGCTTTTGATGTGTTTTAAGAAATCTTCCTTATTGTGAGCTCAGAAAGATATTTTATTTTCTTCTTAACTTTTGCTTTTCCCATTTGGGGTTGAGTTTTCCTGGATTCTTTGTGTGACATGACAGTTATTTTTTAAATCAATAATTAAATGCCCCAGTGGGCCAACCTTTTCCTTGTACACAGGCCTATGTCTAGTTAACCTGCTTCCTGAGTCTAGCACTTTGCCTGGTACGCATTAGGCAATTATAAACATGTGATCAATAAAAGGAAGGATGGAAGAAAGAAAGAGAAGGGAGAGAAAGGGAAGCAAGCTAGGGATAGTAGTGTGGAAAAAAAGTATTTGGATCATGGTCTTTGATATCAACTTTATATTAGATCCATACAAGTCAAAGGCTATTAAAACAGGTTCAAGGGGTGGATTGCAGGAAGATGGGTTTTAGAGGATTCTGGAATACTAGAAGCAAATATATCACTTAAGTGCATCTGAGCTTTCTCACCCCCAGGATGAGAATATGGCCTTGCTAGTGCTGAATTAGTTCAAAGTCCAGAAAACTGTGATGTTATAAATATCATTTATTAAGTCTTTGCAAAATGTTCAAGAAAGCCTAGGAACAAAAGGGCAATGATATAGTCAGAACTTGACAGAGCAATGCTAGGTGAACCTTCCCTGTAGGGATGGTGGCTATATGTACCACGGGAAACCTAAAAAGACGGGAAAAACTTTTATAGATATACTATATATGCTACTATTCAGAATAGTCATTTGGTTTCTATATTCTTAACTAAATTATTTAGGAGCATACAACAGGTGGGTAATAGTCTCTTCCCAACAATCCCTAACCTAAAGTTCAAAGGTGAGGACTGTGGTGGGGGGAAGGGGGAGTATAAGAAAAAAACGTAAGAATAGAACCTAGAATGACACTTGCCTCAGATACCCTCAAAAGTAAAACATATCTCCCTAGAGCAACATTATATTCAGTTCAGTATAGTCAAGGGAGTATGTTCCACTAGAGTAAAAGGAGCTCAGCCTCCCAATGTAAGTACACACTACCACCTACAAAGTATTCTTGCTGAAATATTAAAACATATCTCTACCAATTTATAGTAATAAAGGGGAAGAAGAATATGCTACATGAAGATAACATCAGTAAAAACAGATGGTGGGAAATTCCACAGGACAAAGAAAGGATCCAGTTTCTTCAACAAATAAAAACTGCAAGAAAAATTTTTTAAAGGGATCTAGAGTTTAAGAGATATCAACCAGTAGCTATAAGGATACTGATTCAAACAAACAGTAAAAGTGATGTGATGTCTGGGATTCCCTTCAAAATAACCCATGAAGGGTTATAGATAAATAAGATTAGCTACAAAACTAATTATTAAAGTTGAATAATAAAGACCTGAGAGTTCATTGTCTTTTCTGTCCTTTTGTATGTATTTGAAATTTTTTACAATGAAAAGCTAAATGAGGCCGGGCGCGGTGGCTCAAGCCTGTAATCCCAGCACTTTGGGAGGCCGAGGCGGGTGGATCACGAGGTCGAGAGATCAAGACCATCCTGGTCAACATGGTGAAACCCCGTATCTACTAAAACTACAAAAAATTAGCTGGGCATGGTGGCGCATGCCTGTAATCCCAGCGACTCAGGAGGCTGAGGCAGGAGAATTGCCTGAACCCGGGGGGCGGAGGTTGCGGTGAGCCGAGATCGCGCCATTGCACTCCAGCCTGGGTAACAAGAGCGAAACTCCGTCTCAAAAAAAAAAAAAAAAAAAAAAAAAAAAAAAGAAAAGAAAAGCTAAATGAGGGGGCTGGGTGTGGTGGCTTACACCTGTTAAGGAAGTGATCGCTTGAGGCCAGGAGTTCAAGACCAGCCTGGTCAACACAGCAAGACCCCATCTCTAAAAAAGAAAAAAAGAAGTTAAAAGAGGGGAAGGACTTAGCAGATCCTTTTAAAAGGACAAGCAAATAAAATATATAGAACCTACAGCTAAGGGACTCGAGTTTGAGACCTAAAAACCTTCTGAGGTTGATGTAAACTGTGAAACACTTAAAATTTACAAGAGAAGGTTGTATACAAAACTAAGAAAGATTGAGCCACTTTAATCAATGTCTACTAAGTCACTGTTAATCAGTATTTACCTAAGCTACCACTGAGTGGTACAAAAAGACTATTATTTGAAAGTTTAGAATATAGTGACTAATTTTTGCTTTCTAATGAGTTATTTTCCTTTTTTGCTGTCCTTCCAGGTATAGGTATCTTTCCTTATATGATTGCTGGCTGCTCCAAATGCTGAATTTTACCATATAATATTTAAAAATAGCTAATTTGCTCTAACAGGATTGTAAAAATCTGTATTTTGGGGAGGCAGAGTACTAAACAAATTGTGCTGCTCTCTTTAGTCTCAATCCATGTACTTTCCCAGTTTTCTTCATGCAAACATTTTCAGGTTGATATTAATATTAAAAACTGAAAGAGTCAACAGGATTCAAACATCAAATAACAGCAAAGCATATGCACATATAATATATTCCTTAAAGCTAAAAAGAAATCTTCAAATAAATTTATCTAGTAAGAAACAACAGGGTAAATAAGGCAAGAACTAAAAACATGGTCTTGAAAGGAAGAATTCTGGCTGGGCGTGGTGGCTCATGCCTGAAATCCCAAAACTTTGAGAGGCAGAGGAGGGCAGATTACCTAAGGTCGGAAGTTCAAGACCAGCCTCACCAACAAGGAGAAACCCCCGTTTCTACTAAAAATACTAAATTAGCCAGATGTGGTGGCACATGGCTGTAATCCCAGCTGCTTGGGAGGCTGAAGCAGGAGAATCACTTGAACCCAGGAGGCAGAGGCAGAGGTTGCAGTGAGCCGAGCTGGTGCCATTGCATCCCAGCCTGGGAAACAAGAGCAAGCAAAACTAACCCGACTAAAAAAAAAAAAAAAAAAAAAAAAAAGAAAAAGGAAGAATTCCAATTCTGCAACTACTAGCTATATGCTGCATCTCCTCCAGAGTTTTTAATAAAGACTTAACATTTATATAAGAAGGCATATTGTAATAACGAGCATGTAATAAGTTCTTAATAAATGCTACATAAAACTAAATCTAGTCAAACCCTTTCATTTACAAATTAAGAACAAAAAATGACTTGTCCAAGGTCACACATTGGTTTTTATTTGGCTCCATTATACAGTTAAAAATGCAACGATTATGTCTGATAATAATGCCTCTATTTTACACTGGGATTTTAATCAGGAACATTTTGTGCCCCAGTCTCACCATTCTGGAACTTCCTTCTCCATAGAACATTATGTATTGTCAGTAAAAAAGATAAATTAAAGGTCAATGACCTCTAGTGCTGAACCTTCAGAGGTAGGTGCAGGTTCCAAATATGGGCAAATTTACCTGGTCTACAGAACAGGAAACAATCCCCATAAAAATAATGAAACGAAACATGAGACAGCTGCATGCACTGTGACTCATCCATAAAGATAACTGTTCTTTCTGGGAGATGAGAAGTTAAGTCTTTAGTTTCTTTTCAAACATTTAAAAAGCTTTTTAAACTTTTTGCTACTCAGCTTGTATACTTACAAGCATTTAAAAAGAATATAAAACACCGGCAAGATAACATCACTGGATTGTGTAGTGGGGAAAACAACTCTTCTTCCCCTGCAGCATAGTTTCAGAAGGTATATATCCATGTAGCTTAGTAGCTAAGGTTACATTAAGAAAAAGTTGTGTCAGATATAAGGCAGATCTTTAAATTGAGAAAAACAAGGGGATACATGTAACTGACTTCACTTTTTTGAATGTACCTTAGGTGTCACCAATAGGTGACAAGCTATGTATGTCCAAGTCTTTTTTTTTTTTTTTTAACTGAAAAGCATTAGACCAACCCATGGTATTAGGTGTTTAACTGAGACTATAAAAAAGAAACCAAAATGGAAATGGTTTAAAGAGCTGAAGTTAAAATGAGAATTCCATTAAGATGGCATATCCAAGCAATGATGCTTAATGGGCAGATTAAGGACTATGCCAGTGTCTCACATAAATTAATGAGAACATTTCTTAAAACTGTAGTTAAAATGGCCTACAGGTATACTTATATGACTTATTACTCTTTTCTAGAGTTAAGAGTTTATTACGGCAATAAAGAGTTCAGTATCCCAAATTTGATCCAAAAAAAAATCACCAAGTTCAAGATCCTACAGTCCTTCACTTAAACCCAAGAATCACAGAATTTTTCTTATAACCAAAGACAAAAAAATACAAAAAACAATTTGATAGTTAATATTAAAATTATCTTCCACAAGCAGTAAGAGAACCAAAGGAAGGAAAATCTGACCTAAAAGCATTTCAATCTATAAAGGAGTACGCTATCTCAGGAGATAAAAAAATTATGCATTAATCTCCTCAATGTTCAAATGATGCTTTAGAGAAGAAGATATCTAAACTGATATATTTTTAAAGATAAAAGCATTATTAGTGGAAATAGGTAAAATAATTTATTAAGGATATAGTTAAAAAGTTTAGATTTTTCAATTTTCTCCCTGTGCCTTAAAGCATAATTCTATGTAGAAATGTCTGGTAGTAATCTCTTTTTGGGCTACTTTAAAGTGTCATACGGATAAGGAATCATTTGTTTTTCAGTCAATAGTTTAAAAAACACACCCACACAGAAAAACTGCAAAATACCAGAATTTTTCCCTAGATGAGAAAGTTTTCTAACAACCTAGATAATCAGGCTGAGTCTCTAAGACCTATCAGTTCATGGGAAAAGTGCCTACAGTCTCACTATCCAATAGAAATATAATACGAACCACAGAAATCTTAAATTACCTAGTACATTAAGAAGTAAAAAAATATTACATTTAGTAAAGTATTTTAATATGTCAAAATATTAACACTTCAATATGCAATGAATATAAACATTATGCAGATATTTTAGATCTTTTTCATACTAAGTCTTTGAAATCCAATGTGTATTTTATACTTAA